GCAGAGGTCAGTGGTTCGAATCCCGTACAGGCCTGATTTTTTTCAGGTCTGATTTTCGCCATTGCTTAAATAGCGCTATCTACTGAGAGGATCATGCATCATATGAATATTCTGTTGTGTTAGGCTGGAAATTCTTTGGAAACCTGATGGATGCTCAGCGTTTATCTCTTTGTGGTGAAGAGAGCTTTGGTACAGGATCAGATCACATCAGGGAGAAAGATGGTATCTGGGCATTTCTTGGTAAGGAAATAACGTGTAGAATAGCACAAGATGCTGTATAGATTATCATATGTGGGTAGGAGTGGATAGAGTTGTTTAAAACTGGCATCTTGTGTAGTGAGAATGTGGCATTGCAGGTTGCAGGTCTTTAGGATGCACGGAAATTATGCATGCATACTGCAATGCAATTTGATTAAATATTTTCTGGGCAACTTTTATGAACCTTTGTGCATGACTTTGTTATAATTCTATATTTCAGCTTGGCTGTCAATAATTGCAAGCAGAAAGATGTCTGTCCAGAACATATTGAAAGACTTCTGGAAGAAGTATGGAAGGAGTTTTTTTGTGAGGTACAGTATACATGTATATGCAAAACTTTATTCCTCTTTAAGGTGCTATATTTATTTAATTTGCTGACTTTGCTATCATTACTTCTCAACATTCAGTAGCTTTCTATGACTTTTTTTTTAACCCTTCAACTCCCGAAAGTGTCCAAGACAGAATTTCTCCATATTATATCAATACAGTATCGATCAAACAAGTGACGGGGATAAAGAAAATTACCAGTAATTACCAGTAAGGTGATTATTGGTTGATTCAGCACCAAATTCTCTGAACTAACCTCATAAGAATTGTAAGGCAGACAGTAAGAAGAATTATCAAAAATAATTTAATGAGTTCTTGGTAGGAAGAGAGTTAATTAAAGCTGCAATGTTACAGTTACAGTCTATGTTGATAAATTTTGCTGAATTTTTCAAGGTTTGTTATTTGCAATCCATGGCTATGAAGTGAACTCTATTTCCTAGTAGTTTATTCTGAGCTCTCTTTTGTGACTGACTGCTCTTAGGAACTCTATTATCCCTTTAACTCCCAGAAGTGATTAACAAGTAACTTCTCCCTCTAATATCCTTACATTATCCAGGCAACAGGTCATGAAAATACTCATAGCTAGAAGTTTTTCTCTTGATCTAACACCAAATTCTTGTCACTAATTTACAAGGAAATGTGTAGCAGCTAGAGGAGAGAATTCACAGTCAGATCTTGGGATTTAAAGAGTTTAACTTAATACTCTGTGCTGAAAGTAGTTGCATATTTCCAGGTGTGATTATGAGAATGTAGAAGCAGAGGGAGCCAAGAAGATGATAGAACTGCTAAGACAGATAGCCAAAGATGAAGTTCTGGTGAACAAATCTTTAACAGGAGGCAGTGGCCAGGATCAGAAGACATACGAAGTGAAGTTAATGGATGACTTTTCCTACACTGATCCCATTGATGGGAGTGTGACTGAGAAACAGGTAGGTTGAATGCCACATGTAATTTGATTTTTTTAAGTTGTAATTGCCTTAAAGAAAGACATTTTTTGTCACTGGAGCACAGAAC